CTAGTCTAGTAGCTACACCCGGCTCTAGGCTAGTAGTTACACCTGGCTCTAGTCCAGTAGCTACACCCGGCTCTAGTCTAGCAGCTACACCCAGCTCTAGTCTAGTAGCTACACCCGGCTCTAGTCCAGTAGCTACACCCGGCTCTAGTCCAGTAGCTACACCCGGCTCTAGTCTAGTAGCTACACCCGGCTCTAGTCTAGTAGTTACACCCGGCTCTAGTCTAGTAGCTACACCGGCTCTAGTCTAGTAGCTACACCCGGCTCTAGTCCAGTAGCTACACCCGGCTCTAGTCTAGTAGCTACACCCGGCTCTAGTCCAGTAGCTACACCGGCTCTAGTCTAGTAGCTACACCCGGCTCTAGTCTAGTAGCTACACCCGGCTCTAGTCCAGTAGCTACACCCGGCTCTAGTCCAGTAGCTACACCCGGCTCTAGTCTAGTAGCTACACCCGGCTCTAGTCTAGTAGTTACACCCGGCTCTAGTCTAGTAGCTACACCGGCTCTAGTCTAGTAGCTACACCCGGCTCTAGTCTAGTAGCTACACCCGGCTCTAGTCCAGTAGCTACACCGGCTCTAGTCTAGTAGCTACACCCGGCTCTAGTCTAGTAGCTACACCCGGCTCTAGTCTAGTAGCTACACCCGGCTCTAGTTTAGTAGCTACACCCGGCTCTAGTCTAGTAGCTACACCCGGCTCTAGTCTAGTAGCTACACCGGCTCTAGTCTAGTAGCTACACCCGGCTCTAGTCCAGTAGCTACACCTGGCTATAGTCTAGTAGCTATATCTGGCTCTAGTCTAGTAGCTACACCCGGCTCTAGTCTAGCAGCTACACCCAGCTCTAGTCTAGTAGCTACACCCGGCTCTAGTCTAGTAGCTACACCCGGCTCTAGGCTAGTAGTTACACCTGGCTCTAGTCTAGTAGCTACACCCGGCTCTAGGCTAGTAGTTACACCTGGCTCTAGTCCAGTAGCTACACCCGGCTCTAGTCTAGCAGCTACACCCAGCTCTAGTCTAGTAGCTACACCCGGCTCTAGTCCAGTAGCTACACCCGGCTCTAGTCTAGTAGCTATACCTGGCTCTAGTCTAGTAGCTACACCCGGCTCTAGTCTAGTAGCTACACCTGGCTCTAGTCTAGTAGCTACACCCGGCTCTAGTCCAGTAGCTACACCTGGCTCTAGTCTAGTAGCTACACCCGGCTCTAGTCTAGTAGCTACACCCGGCTCTAGTCTAGTAGTTACACCCGGCTCTAGTCTAGTAGCTACACCCGGCTCTAGTCTAGTAGCTACACCTGGCTCTAGTCTAGTAGCTACACCCGGCTCTAGTCCAGTAGCTACACCCGGCTCTAGTCCAGTAGCTACACCCGGCTCTAGTCTAGTAGCTACACCCGGCTCTAGTCCAGTAGCTACACCCGGCTCTAGTCTAGTAGTTACACCCGGCTCTAGTCTAGTAGCTACACCCGGCTCTAGTCTAGTAGCTACACCTGGCTCTAGTCTAGTAGCTACACCCTGCTCTAGTCCAGTAGCTACACCCGGCTCTAGTCTAGTAGCTACACCCGGCTCTAGTTTAGTAGCTACATCCGGCTCTAGTCTAGTAGCTACACCCGGCTCTAGTCTAGTAGCTACACCTAGCTCTAGTCCAGTAGCTACACCCGGCTCTAGTCTAGTAGCTACACCTGGCTCTAGTTTAGTAGCTACACCCAGCTCTAGTCTAGTAGCTACACCCGGCTCTAGTTTAGTAGCTACACCCAGCTCTAGTCTAGTAGCTACACCCGGCTCTAGTCTAGTAGCTACACCGGCTCTAGTCTAGTAGCTACACCCGGCTCTAGTCCAGTAGCTACACCTGGCTATAGTCTAGTAGCTATATCTGGCTCTAGTCTAGTAGCTACACCCGGCTCTAGTCTAGCAGCTACACCCAGCTCTAGTCTAGTAGCTACACCCGGCTCTAGTCTAGTAGCTACACCCGGCTCTAGGCTAGTAGTTACACCTGGCTCTAGTCTAGTAGCTACACCCGGCTCTAGGCTAGTAGTTACACCTGGCTCTAGTCCAGTAGCTACACCCGGCTCTAGTCTAGCAGCTACACCCAGCTCTAGTCTAGTAGCTACACCCGGCTCTAGTCCAGTAGCTACACCCGGCTCTAGTCTAGTAGCTATACCTGGCTCTAGTCTAGTAGCTACACCCGGCTCTAGTCTAGTAGCTACACCTGGCTCTAGTCTAGTAGCTACACCCGGCTCTAGTCCAGTAGCTACACCTGGCTCTAGTCTAGTAGCTACACCCGGCTCTAGTCTAGTAGCTACACCCGGCTCTAGTCTAGTAGTTACACCCGGCTCTAGTCTAGTAGCTACACCCGGCTCTAGTCTAGTAGCTACACCTGGCTCTAGTCTAGTAGCTACACCCGGCTCTAGTCCAGTAGCTACACCCGGCTCTAGTCCAGTAGCTACACCCGGCTCTAGTCTAGTAGCTACACCCGGCTCTAGTCCAGTAGCTACACCCGGCTCTAGTCTAGTAGCTTACACCCGGCTCTAGTCCTAGTAGCTACACCCGGCTCTAGTCTAGTAGCTACACCTGGCTATAGTCTAGTAGCTACACCCTGCTCTAGTCCAGTAGCTACACCCGGCTCTAGTCTAGTAGCTACACCCGGCTCTAGTTTAGTAGCTACATCCGGCTCTAGTCTAGTAGCTACACCCGGCTCTAGTCTAGTAGCTACACCGAGCTCTAGTCCAGTAGCTACACCCGGCTCTAGTCTAGTAGTTACACCCAGCTCTAGTCTAGTATCTACACCCGGCTCTAGTCTAGTAGCCACACCCGGCTCTAGTCTAGTAGCTACACCTGGCTCTAGTCTAGTAGCTACACCTGCCTCTAGTCTAGTAGCTACACCTGGCTCTAGTCCAGTAGCTACACCCGGCTCTAGTCTAGTAGCTACACCCGGCTCTAGTCTAGTAGCTACACCTGGCTCTAGTCTAGTAGCTGCACCCGGCTCTATTCTAGTAGCTACACCTGGCTCTAGTCTAGTAGCTACACCCGGCTCTAGTCTAGTAACTACACCTGGCTCTAGTCTAGCAGCTACACCCGGCTCTAGTCTAGTAGCTACACCCGACTCTAGTCTAGTAGCTACACCGGCTCTAGTCTAGTAGCTACACCGGCTCTAGTCTAGTAGCTACACCCGGCTCTAGTCTAGTAGCCACACCCGGCTCTAGTCTAGTAGCCACACCCGGCTCTAGTCTAGTAGCTACACCCGGCTCTAGTCCAGTAGCTACACCGGCTCTAGTCTAGTAGCTACACCCGGCTCTAGTCTAGTAGTTACACCCGGCTCTAGTCTAGTAGCTACACCCGGCTCTAGTCTAGTAGCTACACCTGGCTCTAGTCTAGTAGCTACACCCGGCTCTAGTCCAGTAGCTACACCCGGCTCTAGTCCAGTAGCTACACCCGGCTCTAGTCTAGTAGCTACACCCGGCTCTAGTCCAGTAGCTACACCCGGCTCTAGTCTAGTAGTTACACCCGGCTCTAGTCTAGTAGCTACACCCGGCTCTAGTCTAGTAGCTACACCTGGCTATAGTCTAGTAGCTACACCCTGCTCTAGTCCAGTAGCTACACCCGGCTCTAGTCTAGTAGCTACACCCGGCTCTAGTTTAGTAGCTACATCCGGCTCTAGTCTAGTAGCTACACCCGGCTCTAGTCTAGTAGCTACACCGAGCTCTAGTCCAGTAGCTACACCCGGCTCTAGTCTAGTAGTTACACCCAGCTCTAGTCTAGTATCTACACCCGGCTCTAGTCTAGTAGCCACACCCGGCTCTAGTCTAGTAGCTACACCTGGCTCTAGTCTAGTAGCTACACCTGCCTCTAGTCTAGTAGCTACACCTGGCTCTAGTCCAGTAGCTACACCCGGCTCTAGTCTCGTAGCTACACCCGGCTCTAGTCTAGTAGCTACACCTGGCTCTAGTCTAGTAGCTGCACCCGGCTCTATTCTAGTAGCTACACCTGGCTCTAGTCTAGTAGCTACACCCGGCTCTAGTCTAGTAACTACACCTGGCTCTAGTCTAGCAGCTACACCCGGCTCTAGTCTAGTAGCTACACCCGACTCTAGTCTAGTAGCTACACCGGCTCTAGTCTAGTAGCTACACCGGCTCTAGTCTAGTAGCTACACCCGGCTCTAGTCTAGTAGCCACACCCGGCTCTAGTCTAGTAGCCACACCCGGCTCTAGTCTAGTAGCTACACCGGGCTCTAGTCCAGTAGCTACACCGGCTCTAGTCTAGTAGCTACACCCGGCTCTAGTCTAGTAGCTACACCCGGCTCTAGTCTAGTAGCTACACCCAGCTCTAGTCTAGTAGCTACACCCGGCTCTAGTCTAGTAGCTACACCCAGCTCTAGTCTAGTAGCTACACCCGGCTCTAGTCTAGTAGCTACACCCGGCTCTAGTCTAGTAGCTACACCCAGCTCTAGTCTAGTACTACACCCAGCTCTAGTCTAGTAGCTACACCGGCTCTAGTCTAGTAGCTACACCCGGCTCTAGTCTAGTAGCTATACCCGGCTCTAGTCCAGTAGCTACACCCGGCTCTAGTCTAGTGGCTACACCCAGCTCTAGTCTAGTAGCTACACCCAGCTCTAGTCTAGTAGCTACACCCAGCTCTAGTCTAGTAGCTACACCCAGCTCTAGTCTAGTAGCTACACCCGGCTCTAGTCTAGTAGCTACACCCGGCTCTAGTCTAGTAGCTACACCCCAGAATTATGAGCCCCATGCCCTCCGCACACGAGGCCGTGGCCTCGCTACGCAAGCGGTGTCATTAATGGTGCCAGTGGCGCGCACGACCTTCACTCCCTACATCGCGTCTCACGCGGAGCGGCAGAGCAGCCAACTAGGGGATAGGGGGAAGGGGAGTTTAACATCAGGGGTCATGTGGGTCCCACCATTTTGTGCCAGTGACATATCACACGTGTCATATCGTGTTGGGAGTGGGATTGCAGTGACATCACAATTGTGCCATGATAACGTGATAGACAATCACAGTTTTTATTTATTTATTAAAGACACTTTAGACTTGTGTGCTCGACACAGCTACAAGAGAAGAGCTGCCCATCTTTCAGTGCCTCGAATCAGGCCACTCTTCCACACACCCCTCCCCTTATCGCAAGGGGGATCCGACTTGACCACTATTGTGAACCCCATATCTCACAGGATCGCTGGGGTCAAAGATTCGGACTTCAGATAGTGAAACAGGGGTCTGGCTTACCTTTTGACCCTCAATAGATCCCAATAATCGATAATAAATAAATTAATTACTAAACAAGCAACAAAGAGGGCTCACAGTAGGGGATTAAAAACAAGGTCCCCCACACATTGGGGTCAGGGAGTCCAGGGGGGACCCAGGCCCCCCCAGCATAATTTTTCACTGAATGTTTTTGAGGTTACTGGTAAACTGGAGTGGTCACGCAACTGACGAGTCCTAGCCACAGCAGAAGCGAGAGGTATACTGGATGTCATGTTCTCGGCAAGTAAATGCTTTCTGGGTCGCCAACCCCCCAGGGGGCCCCAATGGGGGAGGTCCTGCTTTTGCTAGGATCTCAGCCCAGAGGAGTCTCAATTTTGCTAGGATAGTCCTGGTAGTCTCATAATGGCCATGTTCTGGCCTCGTGCCCGACTCATGACGACTCAGACGAAGGGCAGAGATACCTGAGTAGTGGACAGAGCGACCCGAGCAGTGGGTGGAGCTACCTGAGTATTGGGCGGGGTTACCTGAGTCGTGAGTGGGCTCGTGGTCGAGTGGACATGGCTATGTAAATGTGAGCAGGAGCTGACAGAGGAAGATAGGTGGCTGCCAGCTCACCCCCTTGGTTCCTGGTTGAGTTTCACAGATACATGGCAGTCTTACACCAAAACCTCCTGGGTCCGTGAGTCCACAGCTCCTCCTGAACGGCTCGCAGATGAGACCGGGTTTGGTCAAGTTCAGGTTTGAGTCCAGGTCTCCCTGAGTGAGTCCCCTCTGTCACCGTTACACGAATGCCTGACCCCCTGGGTTCCCTCAGGGGTCTCCTTGAGGATCTGAGTCTAGCATTGGTGTTTGTGTTGTGGAGTGGGAGTGGAGTAGGCGGGTCCGGGGTTTGGGCTTAGGGGGTGATTGGTTTGGGGGGGAGTGAATGTGGTCACTTTTGGGGTGGAAGCTGGAGTTGGAGTCAGGGGCAATTGTGGGGTCAGGATCGAGATTGGGGTCATGATTGGAACAGAGGTCAGGATTGGGGTCAGAGTATAGGTTAGGGTCAGTGTTGGGGTCGAGGTCGAGGCCAGGTGAAGGGTCGCCCCCGTGCCGCTGGATGGGAGTGATGAGTGCGCACGGGACACGACGGAGACGTGGCCGTGGCGAACACCCGGTTGGGGACACGGGTCGCTCCCCCTCCTCTCCCTCCTCATCTTCTTCATCATCACACCCTCCTCCTCCTCCTCCTCTCTGCTCCTCATTGCTTCTCACTTCCAAAGAGGTGCCAGGATGTAGGTTTTCTTGTTCATCGTCCCCCTCCTCCTCATAGCCTCCTCCACCTCCTTCTCCACATCCTCCTTCACCTTCTCCACCTCCTCCTCCCTCCTCTACCTGTGCACGGGGGGCCCCTCTCTCCACGCCGGCCCCAGGGCCTTGACTCCGCTTGGGGTTGGCACCGGGGACCCCCTTGGGCCGCATCTCGGGGGTAGCATCCGGTGTGGGGAGCCCCAGCAGCAGCAGCTGACGCAGGGGCCCCGCGGCGGGGGGTGTCCAGGGCGAGCCGGGGTCTGGCCGGGGTTCGTCCGGAGAACCTTGGGGCCCATCCTCGGGCGTTCCCCCCCCATCTCCTTGACGTCTCCACAACCGGAGGCGCTCCCCCCAGGGGCGGCTGCGGGATGGGGGGGGGCGCTGGCAAGAAGGGCGGCGGCGGCAATGTCGGGAGGCGACGGGCAGGGCCAGGGCGACCCCCAGGAGGAATGCGCCCAGCGAGCAAGGAACCAGCAGGGAGGCAGGGACCCTGAGGGGGGGGGGGCCCTCTCCCAGGCCCCCCGATACGCGGCGCTCCCGGATGAGACCTGCAGCAACCGCACGACACCGCCGCCCGTTAACAAAGATGGACGCTTAGTTGGGATAGTCAGCCATGCCTACAAACTGCAAGGATGTTTTAAGCATCCCGTCTGCCACGCACGAAGGAGGCAGCGCATCGTTTAGTTATTGCGTTATTCATTCTCCACAATGAGAATACATTTTCTTCGACTGATTATTCTGCGTTATGAATGCAGAGATTTGTGTTGAGCCAGGACCCATGTCTAACAGACGGGGCTCTTGCCAGTAACATCTGGGAGTTGAAGAAAGGTGACTCTATTGATGAGGCACTGAATGTTGAAACTGGTCCAGATAATGCTTGCGCTGGGATTATGCACTCCTAGAAAGAAGGCTGTGTGGCTGGTGGGAAGTGTAAAACATGCTTTTGTTTTTTGACGTGGAGTGAACCGATACAGGAAGCAGGAGGTGGTGTAGCGCCTGCTGGTTTACGCGTCAGTGACCTTCACCCAGTGTGGAGTTCACGGCCACCATATGCCCGGGGCCTGTTCTGCACGTGCCGTGTCCTGGCAACTCATCGTATTCTCCAGAGCGATAAACCTCAAGGACCTGTGACTGGAACTCTGTGAACTGGAGGAGGTGCCACATGACCATGGGGGCAAACTGTGGGACATAGTGCTGTTGTTAGTTTTAATTGTTGCCTCGACACACTTCGCCATTCAGGATAAGGGGACTCCCCACTGACACCCCACTCAGTTACTTTTGGTGGTATTGGTGGGGTTAATCAAGGGGGATTCTTTTCAGCCAAGTTTTGGTATTTTGTGTGGGGTGAGCACAGGAAGGACCGTGTGGGTGGACGTGGCGGAATATAAACCCCCATTTCCGCCACAGATGGAGCACATGGTGGCTGAGAATGCTTCAGAACCATTACCCCAGCCCAGAGTCCACCGTTATGCCACAAATGTAACCAAGCGATGGGCCGCTTCGTATCGATATTCCTGGGCTTCCCTGCTCGCTGTCCCACTGGATCTCCGGGCAGCAGCAGGCAACCCCACGTGACTCCACATGACCCCACCAGACTGTCGCTTTTGGGTGCTCAATATGAGGGTCACAGGGTCACAAGAGGGGTCATGAGAGGTCACATGGTCATGTGAGGGTGGTGGAGACTGGTGCAACTGCTGACTAACCCGTCTCTGTGATGCATTCATCTGTAACACGGACACACACACATAGAGGCATTAAACACACGCACAGAGGCATTCACCATTAAGAGAGAGGCATATACAAAAATACAAATAAATGTGTACACATCCCATCGGCCACCAAGGCCTTCTTCCTTTTCTGAGTGCAAAATCCGAGCAAAGTCAGGCTTGCTCACTGGCGGAGCCAGGATTTCCAGGTAGGAGGGGGCAGCCCCTCCAGCTATGAAAAATGAGTTGTTGTTAGTAAGGACTTGTCCATTGATTTTTATTCTATTGCGTGTGCGGCGATGGCGCAGCCATCGATCGAGGATCGAATTCGAACCGTGTGTGATCGGTATCACGCTCGCTGAAGGTATGGCTTCAGGGAAGTCGTGTAATGTATACGCAACTGCGCACAATTATGTGAGTCACTTATAACCGCTTTGCCGTTACTTATTGCCAATTATGGACTCAGACTATTGTCCTATCATCTCATAGAGTCCCTGGCACATAATATGCTACACCATTGGCAGTGGGGGTCGCAAAATGCCGATTTATTACAAATAAACCCCAATGATCCGATCAAAATTAGGGATTTCGATCGGATCATTGGGGGGGGGGGCACGTGCTACCCCGCCCCCCCACTGGCTCTGCCAGTGGGCTTGCTTGAACCAATGGTGGTGAATTGCCAGATGCTTATCAGCAAGGATCCTCTCCGTTAGATGTGGGTCCTAGTTCGATGCAAAGCTATACAATATAGCAATTACATGTTATATATAACAATTATATAATGTGGTTATAATTAGCATCAGCCATGATCAATCCACCCCTAGATGAAGGCCTCCCCCCAAGTATGTTAAAGGTTCGAAAGTGTGGTATCTGTGTCTGGCTGTCTCTGTGAGTCTGGTTGGGGGAAGGGCTTAGGGCGAGTCTCTGTATGGCGAGTACTCTGCACTCCCTAGCACGGTGCCCCCATCCCATTGCCAGATGTGGGGGGGGGGAGCGAGGGAGGCGGGGGGGGCGTTCGTCCTGTGTTTGCGTTGCCCTTGTGGAGCCACACAGCAGCAGCTGCCAGTGTCACCGAGTGGGACTCGGGCGTCTACACACACATAGAGACAATGATACCCCGTATAGCCTTAACAGACTGCTGGGGCAAGTGTTCTTGGTGAGCAACTATTAAGGCCGGTGCGGTAAATGGGTGGGTGGCCAACGCTGCGTCCGGCCGCCTTTGTCTCCCCAGGACCGATGTTTACACACTGCACCAGGTACTCATTGAGACTGAGTCGACCTCGGAGAGGCATAGAACTGGTTCAGATAATTACCACCAGTATTGGTGGCGGTGAGTGGGAATCAGAATCTTTGTTTATCCGAGATAAATCGAGCTCGGCTAACTAGTTTCGTAGTGCAGCGCGCTAAACACTGTGCCACCATTTCCCCTATAAATAGAGATAAACACATAGACACAAAGTCACATAGACACGCACACTCACATACATAGACGCAGAGACATACAGACACATACTCTAACACAAAGACCCCCCATATGGCCTGAACAGACTTTTAACTTTTGGGGCAAGTGCTGTTAGCAAACACCTATAAAAGCCAGCACGGCAGACGAGGGGGTGGGTGGCCAGCACCACGCATGACCGTCTTTGTCTCCCCAGTGGCGATGTTTACACACCGCACAAGGTACTCAACCTAGGGGAGGCCCAGGACTGGTTCAGATAATCGCCACTGGTGTTGGTCGTGAGCGGGTTTGTAGCACAGCGCGCTAACCGCTACATCATTGCTCCCCTAACACACAGACAAATACCCTAACACACAGAAACACACACACAGACAAATACCATAACACACAGACACACACACACAAATACCCTAACACACAGACACACACACACAGACACACACACAGACACACACACACGCACAGATGCACAAGTACCCTACCTGCACACTCCTCCATTCCGCTCGTGTCACCATAGGCAACATCCTGTTCAAACGGCTCCCTGGTGGGTCCAGCAACACACAGACACACACACAGACACACACAGACACACAAATACGGACATGATGGAGATGGTGGTCAGAGCTGTAATGGTATTATTGGTGATGGTGGTGCTAAATGTGATATCCATGGTGGTGATGACAAAAGTTGTGGTAGCGGTGGTGGTGGTGATGGTAGTGGTGAGGATGGTGGTGGTTAGGGTGGTGGTGAGGGAGCCCCCTTCGCTGCACGACACCTCCCTCACCTGGTCCTGGGGCCCAGGCGCTGGCACGACCCCCTGACCCAGCCGCAGTAGGGGTCCCGCGCAGCCACACATGCCCTGCACACCCCCACAGCACGGAGCCCCCACCCCCATACACAACACGGGGTCATTCTGCCCTTCCTCATTCACTGCTCCCTCAGCCATCACTCACCCCTCACTCCTCCATCTCTACTCAACGCCCATATTTCTCCTACCCATCCCATCACCGCCCCTCACGAACCAACATCTCCACATGCCCCATCACCACATGCCCATCACTGCCTTTATCACCACACGCCCCATCGCTGCTCCCATCACCACATGCCCCATCACCGCCCCATCACCACAAGCCTCATCACCACCCCATCACCACAAGCCTCATCACCGCCCCATAACCACAAGACTCATCACCGCCCCATCACCACAAGCCTCATCACCACACGCCCCATCACCACAAGCCTCATCACCACACGCCCCATCACCACAAGCCTCATCACCGCCCCATCACCACAAGCCTCATCACCGCCCCATCACCACAAGCCTCATCACCGCCCCATTACCTCCGGCAGGTAGCGTGGCGCTCGCAGCGGCTGAGCGGGAGCCGCACGAGGCAAGAGGAGAAGGCGACGAGCAGCGCGTGGGACGCAGCGTCCACGGAGAGCGCAACGATGCTTGCACCCCCAGACTCCCCGCACCTACGCACGCACACGCATAGACATACACGCACCCACGCAAATACATGCATGCACACACACACACATACATGCGCGCACATGTACACACACACACATCAATAACAAGAAGCGCAATTCACCACTCGGTTTCGGTGACGTCACCACACAACTTGTGCCAGGCTATGTGCACGTTGAGGCTGTCATGTGATGTGTGGAAGGCTCACGAGCAGGAGGTCATGGGACAGACCCAGGTACCATGGGTTGATTTACTGAGAAGACTGACAGATGCAACACATACGCTCCCCACTGTACCACCTCGCTGTATTTTATCCCGACAGTGCCAACATTTTTTCATCATGGGACCTCCCTTGCCAGTGTAGTGACATAGGGAAGGGCATCGCACTGCTGCTTCGCTGCCATCGGGAACGGAGCGACAGAGCCGCGGGGAGAGGACACCGTCGTCGCTGCGGGGGCTGGTGGTGGAGGCCCGGGCATTCGGGCCACGCGGTGGGGCCGCCATTTTGGCGGCTGGTCGTGGCGCTGTTCCTGCCAAAATGCCGCTCCCGCCAACTCGGCGGCTGGTCGGGGCGCTGTTCCCGCCAAAATGCCGCTCCCGCCAACTCGGCGGCTGGTCGGGGCGCTGTTCCCGCCAAAATGCCGCTCCCGCTAAATCGGCGGCTGGTCGGGGCGCTGTTCCTGCTGCCGAAAGGCCGTTCCCACCGACATAAATGCCTGCGGAGGGGGAGTTCCACACGTTCGGGTGGCGCCCCCGTCTTCTGCTCGAGCGCGAGAGGTGGATGGGTTCGCCAGAGGAGGCCGTGTTCACCATGCAAGATTCTTGGGGGCGTCCAAGTGCTCCACCTTGCCGCCCTCCGCTATTCACAGTTTACCAGGCGAGTCGTGACATGACATAAGCACCCGGCCCCAAGAAAATTAATAATAATAACTTCACCCATGTTGCGTGCACCGGGTTGCGTGTGTTTTTTTTAACTCGCTGGTTTGCGGAGCGTGTTCGTCCGGTTGTGTGCGTGACAAATTGACGCGGCGTCCGTGCAGGTGTCTGCTTGTAACAGTGTTTGTTATTAATTACGGCGTCGAGATCGTTATCTTCAGGGGGCAGTTAATGATTAATTCGTTGTTGGGTGTCCCGAGCTCCGTTGATATCCTGTGGGTTGCCGTGTTAATGACTCGTGTTGTTACATCGTTTAGTTGCGAAATCGCGATTGTTATTGTGTATACTGTATGGAGTTTCGCTCGTGATTGTTCACGTGTAACTGTCAGAAACTTTGATCGTCATTGTTGCCAAGGTACAGACCATATGGAGCTTTGCTCGAGAGTGTTAACAGTGTATGGACTGTTGGGTACTTGCTTGTGATTATTTACTATGTACGGATTGTCTGGAGTATTGATTGTGTGTTGCCATGTGGGGACTGGATGGAGCATTGCTCCAAATGATTAGCTGTACGAACTGCGTATACTGCATATGCTGCATATACTGTATTAATCAATTCGGCGATTCTTGGGTTTTGTGTCTAGTTTTTTGCTCTCAAAATTCAAATGCCCTGAGTCCCATGGTTAATGTTGAAGGGGATTTTGAAATGACAGGTTCGGTGTGTTTCAAACTCACTGGTTGGTTCCTGTCCATTGTTGCACAGATGTCTTTTGTGCGGGAATGCCCCTCGTGTTCTACATGGATCGGGGGTGCGTTTCAGTTAATTGCCGCCAAATTGCGTTACTCTCTCAACTCAGTTGGTACAGCTGCATGCTGCTATGCGAGTCTCGGAGATGATGTGTACGGATACGGGATGTGAGGTGTATTGTTGTGACCATTGAATATTCGGGATCGTTACAAATTGTGCGTACCTGTTCGGCATTGGATCAGTTCAGTGGGGGATCCTAATTCAAATTGTATGTGTTGTGATGGTGTTAAATTGCGATTGTGTGGGGGATGACTGCTTGCTTTGTGGCTCTGCCGTGATTGGTATGGAGCATTTCAATTGCGATGGTGACATGCTGCCAGGGACTTGGAATTGTGGTGCTGGCTGTCACCTATCTTGGGGCGCAGATCCTGACCAGGATGGCCCAGTGAGTGTTGCGTGTCTAACACGAACGTTGTGGTCCCGTCATGCTATGGTTGACGGCTTGACCTGACGGCTCGGAGATTGAGACACTCCGAGGCGCGTTGAAACAGTGGGCTGGAGATTCGTAGTGTTCAGGTGTAGTTGTCCCGTTACGTTGGGACTGTATCCCTCAGTTGTTAGGGTGCATGTTGTACAGTGAGTGAATGATGGGTCGTCTCAGCTCGGTCGGTACAGCTATATGCTGCGCTGCGAATCTTGGAGAGAGACTGGTTTAAAATTCCCCCGATATGGCCGACGCGTGCTACTGGTTGTGACGCCGCGTCGGAAAGGTGGTGGGGTGGTAACATGGAAATTCCCCCCCGATATGGCTGACGTGCGCGGTTTTAGGATGGAGACGCCACGTCGGAAAGGCGGGGCGTGCTAACGGGTGACATGTAATGTCGGTGGTGGTCCTCAGTGAGGGCTGCTGGTTCGCAAGCACGGGATGCCTTGGAGATGCGGTTCCCGCGTGCGGCCGCCATTTCTGGGCAAGAGCAGGCAGATTTATTTTGTTGTGTCATGTCAATTTTATATATATATTTTAAAATGTAGATACTGGAGCAGCCCTGAAGTGCGACTTCTTTGCCCTGTACATGGGTCGACCCTGAAGTACGACTTCTCGACCCGGGACGTAGACAGACATCCGGAATAATAATTAGTGTGTAGAGGGGTGCTAGACATGTTGGTCTTCGCCTTCTCACCACCTGACGGATGGGACGGTGGTAGGGTGGTGTGGAACCCTGCCATCCATGGGGTGGTTGTGTGATTTTGGTTCGATTACCGGTGTTGGTTGTGCATCCAATGCGTCGGAATCTGTATATTTTGTTTTATTTTCTACCGCCGAGTGGTATACAATCATCTCCACTACCCTGGGGCCGGGTGACTGTCATGTCCGAAGAGCGGAGGCGAGTGTTCGTTGAGTGATGCCTCAGGAGGGTTTGTTTCTCGTCACAGGAGGCAGTATCTACCTGGCACCTTGGAGTCGCCGGTTATGCCGACCGGCTATGGACTGGGGGGAGGGAGTGGAGCATGCGTCAGCTACTCCTGCTCCTCCTGTTCTTGACTCCTGGGGAGGGGCCGTGCCCTTTGGGCCGCTTCTGGTTCCCCAGGGCCTCCAGGGGGGGGGGGGGTGTGCACCTCCCCTGGGGGGCCCGGCCACATGGACTCGTGGAAGACTGGCTGCTCTACATGGCTTTCAGACGCCTTGCTCATTGCCTACGTCGTCGTTCCAATGGCAACACTCACATGTCGGTGCATGCGTGATTCTCACGGGGAGGCTGTGCTGGAGCGTAAGTGGGTTGGCCAGTTTCCATGTATATTTGTTGTTGGCAATTCCTCGTTTTCTATGCGGTTCCCTTCCTTTTACCCTCGTCGATTCTGTGTATATTACGTGATTGTATTTCTTATCGGTCGCCGGTCATTTATTGAGGCACACCTTTTCGATGTTTCACAGTTGTGTTACAGCCGGGATGGCTGTGTGTTTATACAGGGGGGGGGGGGGTGATGTAGTGACATCGGATGTCACTACTATGTCGGCCCGTACGAGGGCTGGGGGCCCCAAGGGGGTGCTTGGGGGGTCACGTGGTGGAGGGACCCAGACCTTCCCGTGAGGTGGGGGAAGGGAGGCGTGGCCTGGGAAGGGAGGCGTGGCCTGGGCAGAGCCGGCCACGCCTGGGCGGAGCCGGCCACGCCGGAGCGGATATAAGCAGGGTGTGGATGCAGAGCGGGGCTGTTGAACTCCGAAGTGAAGACGACATCATCGGTCCTCAAGTCCCGGGTCGTCGTCCTGGACCAGGCAACCCGTTGCCTGCCTGGTCCACTCTGTGTCGTGTTCCAGAGTGTTAGTGAGTTGAGGAAGGTGGTCACCACCTCATGTACAGTGTTATATTACTTACCGTTTAATAAATAGTGTTGCCTCCAAGCTGTGTGTGTGTGCACCTAATTCGAACCCGCTACACCAGTATCAAAACATAAATATAAGAATAGGTTTTACCTATTCTTATATATATATTTTTTTCCTTGCAAAAAGTTTCAGTTTGGCGTTATAACATCTTAACACCTGTTTTATTGCCAGAAAGGATAAAACTTATTCTCATATTTTGCTGCATTGTAACTGCCCGGTGCTCCGCTGGTTGTTGTGAGTGTTGGTCCTATGCCTTACCCTGTTGTTGGAGGAAAATTGCCTCCAACTGCCCAGTAGCATCCTTCACGAGCCTTCTCCACAAAGGCCGATCTTGACACTGCTGGTACCAGTCATTGGTAAGGCCACTCAGCTCCATATCCTCATCAGTCCATTTCTTCTCTAGCCCATACCGAGACCATTTAGTCCGCTCTATCCAGCCAAACAGAATCTGCTTGGTCATGCGGTGGTTGGGCGTGCAGCCGACATGATCCAGCCAACACAGCCTCACCTGCCGGAGGAGCTCACAGATGATGAGACTGTGCACATATATTTCAAGGATCCGAAAGCTCACTCAGACACACAGACACAGTCACAAGTTGTGGCCCCGTTCTGGTGTTGAGCTATGACTCTCACACTCGGGGGTTGAACGCCTCCAGCTGTTCCAGCACCACAGCCGAGCCCTCCAACTCCAGGGGGGGCAACGCCTTGATCACGTGGCCGCCCTCTGAGCCCACGAACAGCACCGTCTCATTGCCGTAGGGACCCGCGCTCGTATCCACGGCAACGTGGGTCAGCCTCCACCTGCGCCACGGCAATAGGTGGGTACCCAGACACACGTACAGACACACGGAGACAAATATACATCAGGAAGCCCACACAATGCTGGGGCAAATGCTGTTAGCGAGCACTTATTAAGGCTAGCATGGCACATGAGGGGGCGGTGTGGCTAGAACCACATACAGTACCGTCATACACACAGGCACACCTCCACACATCTACACGCCCCTACACGCCTCTGCATACCCCTACAAACCCCTACAACAACAACCGCCATTGGCCACTAAGTGGCGGTGATGTCATCACGACGCTTGTGCCAGGCTATGTGCATGTTGAGGCCACGTGAAGTGGCGAACGCCCGCTGGCACGAGGTCACAGGGCAGACCCAGGTGCCACAGGTCGACTGACCGAGATGACTGGCTGATGCACCACCTGTGCCCCTACTGTGCCAACTTGCTGTGCTTTAGCTACCCAGCGCTCTGCTCATTGTGAGAATTGCTCCTCCGCCCTCGATTGTTGTTGGAGGGCGACTGTCTCCAACTGGCCAGTAGCGTCCTTCACGAGGCTCCTCCACAGAGGCCGATCTTGACACCGCTGGTATCAGTCATCAGCAAGTCCACTGAGCCCCACATCCTCCTGTACCACATCACTCCATCTCTTCTCTAGCCCGTGCCGCGCCTGTTTAGCCTCCTCGATCCGGCCAAACAAAAGCTGTTTAGGCATGTGGTGGCTGGGCATGTGGGCTACATGATCCAGCCAACGCAGCCTTGCTTGCTGGAGGAGCTCACTGATCGGACTTTGTCCAGATCTTTCAAGGATTTGTGAGTTCCTCACAAAATTCAGCCTGGTTAAACCCAGGATCGATTGTAGGCAGGCCAGCCTAAATGTTTCTAGCCAGCGAAGATGTTCCATGAGAAGGGTCCACGTTTCGCAAGCGTAGATAAGGTAGGGCATAACTGTGGCCGAGAAGACCTGAAGCTTCATGTGGAGCGACAGACCAGGTAGCTTCCACACAGCGTTACGCAACCGATGAAAAGATAATGCCGCTCGACTGATTCGGTGTGAGAACTCTGCTGTCAAACCGGAGCCGGTCATGAGCACACTGCTCAGGTATGGGAAACTCTCCACTCTTTCCACAACTGCCCCATCACCAATTGGGAGTTGTGGGGGTGGAGTGTCCGATGGTACAAAATACCTAGGCAGGTGCTTAGTTTTGGCGGGGCTGATGGTAAGGCCCCACCTCTTAGTGGCAAGCTCCAGGTTCAGCAGCAGCACCTCCAACCCCTCCTCTGAGTGAACAACAATTACCAGGTCATCGGCATACATAACATGATTGAGCAATAGGGAGCCATCCCTTGACCGCATCCGGGCATCGATCAGCCTCCCATTGCATCTGTACCAGATGGAAATTCTTCCAGCATAGCTATTGGTCGAAATAGATGTGAAATAATATAATAATAATAGTACAATTTGTAACGCGCGCAAATTTGCAGACGTAGTGGCCGCAACTCAGAGGCGCGGAGCCAAGCTCAGAGTCGCTCAAAAGCATGATTGTAGAGGTGAGTTTTTAAGTGTCTCTTGAAGGAGGCGATTGAGGTGATGCTGCGAATGTGCAGAGGGATATCGTTCCAGACTGTTGGGGCTGCCACCGAGAAGCGGCGCGTAGACATGACCATCCTGGATCTTGGTATTGAGAGGAGGTCGTGAGTCGCGCTGCGCAGGCATCTGCCGTGTGCTGAGCTGCAAGTTGTCAGTAATGAAGAAAGATACGGCGGGCAGGCGGATATGAAGGCATTGTGGGAGCCAGAGGACATCCCTGTCGCACCCCAAGGTGTACAGGGAATGGCTCCGACTCCAGGCCACGTAGTTTTACCCGGGCCCGCTCACCATCATGAAGATTCTTAATTATCGTCAGCAGAGGGTCAGGGACTCCGAAAGCACGAAGAACAACCCAGAGCCCAGGCCTACTGATTGTATCATAGGTCTTGACCAGGTCAATAAAACAGAGATGTAGGTCTTGTTGGAATTCCCTACACCTCTGCTGTAGCAGATAGACAGAAAATATGGCATCTGTGCAGGACCACCCTTTCCTGAAAGTGCATTGGGGCTCCACAAACCTCTCCTCGGAGTGCTTAGCAAAGCGATGTTGAATAATCCTTGCCAGTACCTTTCCCGGCACACTGAGGAGTGAGATGCTCCTGTAGTTGTTACAGTCTGTGCGGTCCCCCTTCTTAAAGAGGGGGACCACCAGGGCATCCTTCCAATCCTGCAGAACCCGTCCAGTGGTCCAGACTGTTGTTATGATGTCATGTAGGGAAGTCTGTGCACAAATGCTACCCTCCCTCAGCATTTCGCTTGGGAGATCATCTCTGCCCGGTGCCTTTCCTGGTCTCAGACTCCGGATCGTCTTCAGTACTTCCTCAACAGATGGCAGCTCAGCCAGCCACTCACAGGGGGTGACTTCTTCTTCCAATATTTGAGGCACCGCAGCCTCAGCAGGGTCATCCCCACTTTGTCCCACGTTGTTTCCAGGCTGAGGGATCTCCCCTCCCCCAGGACCTCACAGAAATGCTCAGCAAATGTGCAAACCTGTTCCCGGGGGTTAGAGATTGGATCACCGTTCTTTCCCCTAATGATGGTAATAGGTATTGCGCTGCAGGTTACTTTTTTGATGGAGTTAAAGAGCAATTTGTGATCGCAGGCCATTGAGGCAGACTCCATCTCCTCGGCAACCAGCGACCACCACCCATCCTTGCAGCGCCTCACAGCTCTCCGAACCTCCGAGCGAAGGCTGCAGTAAGCCTCCTCATTCTCCGACGTGGAATGCTAAAGACGATGAGAGTGGACCTGTTGCTTTTTCTCAGCCAGCCTGAACATCTCAGCCAGGGTCTCTGGAGAGGTCTGGACCATGTATCCAAAGCAGCCATTGCAGCTACAGGAGCCAACCCCAGCCGCAAGCGATGATGGAATTCTCACTTGCAACTTTCAAAAGCTAGCTGAGACCATGCCACTATGGATTTTAATGGGGTCCTGGGTGTACACCCACCACCGGAGTGGAAGAATGGCAGGCGCATCTTACAGATGATAAGTTGATGGTCAGTGGGCAGATCAGCTCCACGGTAGGTCCTGGTGTCAAGGATATGGGCCCACATCCGCTGTTCCGTCACTATGTAGTCCAGCAGATGTTATTGCTTAGACCCGGCATGCATCTGTAATGTGAGGGTATATCCGGGTGGTTGATCACACATCGTTATGATGATTGGCTCTACCGGTCCAGGCCCATAGCCAATGGGGAGAGGTCTAGGGGTGTGGCCATGATGTAATGGGAAGGTAACACCTGGAAGGAGATGATTGGATCTGCTGGCTTTAGCCACAGCCAATGGGGGGACGAGTTAGGGGCGTGGTCCTGGGATCGTAGGATGGAATCTGGAAGATTCCATGGAGGTTACCCAGGACTGGTGGAAAGGTACCACGTGACCCAGGTATTAAAAGGGGTAGAGACAGGTAACACGTGGTCAGATCTGGAACGAACGAAGGGTGAGGCCACGCAGGAGCGGGGGTCCAGGCCTGCCACGTGGCAGCAAGAGTCTCTCTCCCTCCCTTTCATGCTGTCTGTCAACAGCGTGAAGAAGTAAGACAGTAGTGGAGTTTATATGAAGAGAGCTGTGAACGAAAGAGAAATAAAGAACCTGATTACAGAAGTCGCTTCCACGACCTTTATTACACATCAATGATGTTGTGTGGATACGCCGATGCCGGAACAGCGTGTTGGTAATTACAAGCCCATGAGCTGCACAAAAATCTAGCAGCCTCCTGCTGTTGTTATTGAGCTGATCTGGCCCATGCCTTCCAATCACTCCAGACCAGGTGCCAGCATCATGACCAACTCGGGCATTGTAGTCACCCAAACAAGATGACTCTATCCCAATGGGCTACTTTAGCCAGCACCTGTGACAGGAGGTCATAAAAGGTATCTGACTCATCGGCCTTGCCTGAATCCCTCCACGGATGTTCGTCTTCGGTGGGGGCATAAGTAACCATGACCACCACTCCTCGCCTCTATTTGATGGGAAGGCGAGCCCAAAGTAGCCTGGGGCTTACAGCTTCCCACACCTCACCGCCACGCTCCCACACCCCCTTCATTCTTTTGTTCAGAAGAAGAGCTACTCCCTGTTGTTTGGCAGTCTCTTGTCCCGAGTAGAGGACTGTCCACCCCTCATGGTGGCAGCAGCCAGAGCCAGTCCACCGGACCTCCGGAATACCACAGAGATCCAGGCGGTACCGGTCCAGCTCCCAACAGAGGAGTGGCAGCCTCTTCTCTGCAGTGAGCGTTAGAACATTCCGTGTGGCCACCCATAGAGGTTTTTTGTTGTTTCTGGAGGAGCCCCGAGGGTAAAGATTCAGTCTCCTGGCTCCGCCAAATGGGGTTTGGCCAGGTGACGTCATAGACGCCTGTCCCTCCGGGGCCTCCGGCACAAGCTTATTCATTAAAATTTTCAGTCGTGGTTTTGTGGTCATTAATTGAAGGTGGAGGGGTTACCAGCCCCTCCACTGCCCTACACACAGATGCCTGCACTCCCCTACACTCCCCTTCACACCCCTACACTATCCCACACACTGACACCTGCATTCTGCCGCACACCGACAACTGCTGCACGCACCGGTCGATGGAGCGGATGAGCCAGGGGTGTGAGCCCAGGCTACCCACGGTTTCATCCAGCAGTGGATGGGACTTGACAAACTGGAGCGTCTCCTCAGGGAACTCAGCAGAACTGTGGAACCCTCTCGCGCATGGGTCCCCAACGCAGCAGCCGGGCCTGGGGTGGGGGCCCGGGGGGGGGGGGGGGGAGGACAGAGGGAAGCCCAGCAGGTGAGCCCAGGTGTGTTCCAGATGGGTGGCAGGGTGAGCCTGCGTGAGCGCAGGTGAGTCCTGGAGTGTCCACAGAGTGCAGGTGAGTCCTGGAATGTCCACAGAGTGCAGGTGAGTCCTGGAGTGTTCACAGAGCGCAGGTGAGTCCTGGAGTGTTCACATAATGCAGGTGAGTTCTGGAGTGTTCACAGAGTGCAGGTGAGTCCTGGAGTGTCCACAGAGTGCAGGTGAGTCCTGGAGTGTCCACAGAGTGCAGGTGAGTTCTGGAGTGTCCACAGAATGCAGGTGAGTCCTGGAGTGTCCACAGAGTGCAGGTGAGCCCTGGAGTGTTCACAGAGTGCAGGTGAGTCCTGGAGTGTCCACAGAGTGCAGGTGAGTCCTGGAGTGTCCACAGAGTGCAGGTGAGTCCTGGAGTGTCCACAGAGTGCAGGTGAGCCCTGGAGTGTTCACAGAGTGCAGGTGAGTCCTGGAGTGTCCACAGAGTGCAGGTGAGTCCTGGAGTGTTCACAGAGCGCAGGTGAGTCCTGGAGTGTTCACAGAGCGCAGGTGAGTCCTGGAGTGTCCACAGAGTGCAGGTGAGCCCTGGAGTGTCCACAGAGTGCAGGTGAGTCCTGGAGTGTCCACAGAGTGCAGGTGAGCCCTGGAGTGTCCACAGAGTGCAGGTGAGCCCTGGAGTGTTCACAGAGTGCAGGTGAGTCCTGGAGTGTCCACAGAGTGCAGGTGAGTCCTGGAGTGTTCACAGAGCGCAGGTGAGTCCTAATGTGTCCACAGAGTGCAGGTGAGTCCAGGAGTGTCCACAGAGTGCAGGTGAGTCCAGGAGTGTCCACAGAGTGCAGGTGAGTCCTGGAGTGTTCACAGAGTGCAGGTGAGTCCTGGAGTGTCCACAGAGTGCAGGTGAGCCCTGGAGTGTCCACAGAGTGCAGGTGAGTCCTGGAGTGTCCACAGAGTGCAGGTGAGTCCTGGAGTGTCCACAGAGTGCAGGTGAGTCCTGGAGAGCTCACCTGGGCGTGGGAAGCTTCTCCTCCGGCACGGTCGTCCAGCCGTGGTCTCCGGACCTCGGCTCCTTGAAACGGCCGGAGAACACACGGGCAACCTCCTCCATGTGGAACGCACACACGGCCGATCCGGTGATGCTGCATGCAGACACACACGTACGCACAAACCAAAGACAAAGGTCTCCCGTGTAGCCTGAATGAACTTCTGGGGCAAGTGCTGAGGGAAGACCTACGAAGGCCGGCACGGCAACGAGGGGGTGGTGATGTTTACACAGCGCATCAGCTGCTCATTCGAGGTTGAGCAGACCTAGCAGAAGCCCAAGACCAGTTCAGCTAATCGTTACTGGTGTTGGCCAGAATCAAGAATCAATCTCGGGACATTGGGTTCTAAGCGCAGCGTGCTAACCGCTGCGCCACTGTTCCCCACGTGCACCAAAGACACGTGCGCCTATTCAAAGAGATGCTAGAGGGGGGCCCCGTCTGCTCGTACCCCGCACGTCACCCCAGCCCGCTGTGCGTGGTGGGGAGGGTCCCACCTGTTTGCCGGGGTGGTGAAGACCCCGACGAGGAGGTGGGGGCCCCCCGCGGGCTGCAGCCCGACGAGGGCGTGGAGCTCGGGGAAGGGGAAGGGAGGCTCCCCGGGCACGGCACAGGCGAGCGACGCCTTCGCGAACGAGCTCCAGTGGCGGTGCAGCACACGCGGCGAGCCCCCCGCGTCGCTCCGGCACACGCGCGCCACTCGCGACACCACCGCCTGCAAAGACACCGCGGTGGCCCCGAGATATCAGCTCCCTCGCCTGGTTGTACAGGAGGTCGTGGGTTCGATCCCGACGACTCCTGCTGTAGAATTGGAGTCTGCATGTCTCTCTCTCTTTCCCTGTGGCAGCGTTGATTTCCTGCGGCTCCTCTGGTTCCCCCCCCTCCTTTGTATCCCCAATGCTGTTGCTGAATACACACCGCACCAAGTACTGGACTCGTGCACAGCTGAGTCGACCTTGGGGGGAACCCAGGACAAGTTCGGATATCAATCGCCATTGCTGTCAGGTGTCCGCTTGTGCTGGGGTAGGGCAGCATCATCCCACTGTCAGATAGCACCATGAGATATCATCATCGGATATCATGCTGTGTTGGTCGCACTGCTGGGATTGTTATCATCACCATTCCGCTTGGTTACCCAGGAAACTCAGTCTCGTGACTCCACCTCCTGTATACCAGGCGAGATGTTAACTCCCGCGCCTGGTATACAGGAGGTCGTAGGTTCGACCCCGACCCCGACCCCAAAGCCTGTATATTTGTAGTTTGCGGTCACTCTCTCTCCACGATTACATCGATTGTTCTACGCGTCCTCCGGTTTTACCCTCCACATTTATAATCAACATGTGTTTAGAGTATTTCGCTGGGATTTATTTACACGTGATAAGCCACTTAGTTGAGGTATCATTTGTGTCCAGGTCACTTGTTAATAAGAGCTATATAGCTCAGTGGGCCTTACCTGGTAAAATAGAAAGTTTAAAGACGAATAACCCCCATGTAGCCCACACAATCTGTTGAGGCAAGTGCTGTCAGTGAGTAGCAGCACCCAATGAAGGCCGTCACGGCACACAAGAGGGTAAGGTGGCCAGCACCACACCCCAGGACCGGTTCAGATAATCGTCACTGATTTTGGGGGCCGAGCAGGAATCGCACTCGAATTGCTGGGTTTGTAACGCAGCGCACTAACCGTTGCGCCACCACTCCCCACAACACACACACTCCCATTAAACCCCCTGCCATCTCACCACCCCCTCACCGCACCACCCCAGCCGCCCCCTCACCAGCTCGTGAGCACCCATCTCCACCCCGAGCTCGCGGAAGAAGAAGAAGACGTGGGCTCCGTGCTCCAGCACGTGGACAAAGTGTGGCTCTGTGCCACGCCGCACCGCACACAGAGACACACCGCACCGTGGGACTCCGCGCCACACACCATAACCCGAGGCACACCACACACGAACACACACACCACACACACACCACACACACACCACACACACACACCACACCAGAACACACACACCACACACCACACACGAACACACACACCACACACACACACCACACCAGAACACACACACCACACACCACACACGAACACACACACCACACACACACACCACACCAGAACACACACACCACACACCACACACGAACACACACACCACACACACACCACACACACACACCACACCAGAACACACACACCACACACCACACACGAACACACACACCACACACACACCACACACACACCACACACACACACCACACCAGAACACACACACCACACACCACACACGAACACACACACCACACACACACACCACACACACACCACACCAGAACACACACACCACACACCACACACGAACACACACACCACACACACACCACACACACACACCACACCAGAACACCACACACACACACCACACCAGAACACACACACCACACACCACACACGAACACACACCCCACACACACACCACACACACACCACACACACACACCACACCAGAACACACACACCACACACCACACACACCACACGAACACACACACCACACACGAACACACGAACACACACACCACACCACACACGAACACACACACCACACCACACACAAACACACACACACCACACACATGAACACACACCACACCACACACGAACACACACACCACGCCACACACGAACACGCACACCATCCCACACACACCACACCACACACGGTGGCACAGCACACTGCACAGCCACCGTACCATGCAACACCACACCGCACACACGGTGTGTGGGCATTTTTGCTGTGCTGTGAGTGTTGTCGTTTCGTGCGGCACGTCTTGGTTTTTGTGTGCCGTGTTGTGTCGTGGTACGGTGTATTGCAGGGTGCCGTGTTGTGCTGTGCCGTGGCGCGTTGTGCTGTGTTGTGCCCCGGTGTGGGTGATGCGGTGTGCCGCAGTGTGCCGCCATGTGCCGCGGTGTGGCTGGGCGCACCCTTCAGCCACCTGGAGTCGTGTTTCACGCTCCGCAGCGTGGTGCCATTGCCCAGGCTGCGGTAGAGAACGGCGTCGATCGCCAGGAAATCCGTGACCGTGCCTGAGTACAGGTGTCCGTCTACAACCACCACAACCATCACAACCACCACAACTACCACAACCACAATAACCACAACCACGATAACCACACCGTGCCTGAGTACAGGTGTCCATCTACAACCACCACAATCACCACAACCACAATAACCACAATAACCACAACCACGATAACCACACCGTGCCCGAGTACAGGTGTCCATCTAGAACCACCACAACCACACGGAGTCCGAGTGCAGATGTCAGTCTAATACAACCACCAACAACAACCACCAGGCTGCCCCCCCCCCCCTCCCCGGCCTCTCACCGGCAAACAGCGCCACGTTGCTGTGTGCGGGGTCGTACGGACACTTGGCCATGCCGCTCACATCGACCCCGCGCTGCTGCAGAGAGCTCAGCTGGGGGGGGGGGGGGGGGGAAACCATCACACACGTTAGTTTATAAATGTGTCGTAACCCTCCACCACCCGACACCTCCAATCAGTAAAAAAGTGTCACGTTGACAAAAGACAAATAGTTCACTGCTTTAGCCCACCGGTGTGTTGAAGCCACAACATTTACAATTGGAGTACGACGTTTCGCTGGTAATTGCGATTTAAAGGTTTTTATTAACTTCTCAGCGGGTACAAGGAAAACCAAAGAGAGTACTGAAAACCACTCCTTCCCGGGCGCCCCGGTTGGCCCCTTCGAGCCTCCGTCACATCCGCGAGCTCCACCCACATACAATGCAACAAAAAAAGCTCGCCGCCATAACGCACACCGCCCCGTTCCCCTTATTTACATTCATCACCACCATTCACCCATGCGCTGCTCCATCACATCGCCTTCCCCCGATCGAACACGTACATTCCTCGCCCACACGACTTAGCAGGCCGGCTAAAATGTGCATGGCCATCCTTCACTATCCCTTCCCTATACCCGCCGGTCCCCTCGCTACCCCACCCTGGGTAGGGGCCACTTCCACTTCACACCTGCGGCCTTGTATCCCAGCCTAACCCGGTCTACTTCCATCACCCTTTCTAGCAACCTCCTCGCCCAGTAGCACACCTCCAACGGTGATATAGGGGACCCATCCAACTCTTTTCTGCGAGCTCCCCACAAGGCCTCCTTTGTCGCGCCTATTATGGCCCACGTTCGATCTCTGTCATCTCCCCGCACCTCCCTTAAGACTCCCCACATAATGTCCCGACTTATCACCTGCGACGGGTAAAACCAGGACAACAGCGGACTGCTCAGTCTCCACACCTCCTGTGCGAAGGGACACTTCACCATGACGTGCACCGCGTCCTCATCTGTGTTGCAGCCCCTCGGACATTTGGGCGAACGTGCCATTCGGCGAGAAAACATGAAGCCCCTCGTCTCCAATCTATCCCACACCACCAACCAGGACAGATCTCTCTGTTCTTCTGTGAGCGCCGTTGATGAAGTGTTCCTCCACACTTGACGGTACATAATCCTCTTCGCGCCCATCACCCTCTCGCAGGCCTCCCCTTCGTTTACTTTGGCCAATACCTCCTTGGAGTTCCACGGTCCCCCTCTCTGACTCAAATTGTACTCTTTTATGTAGTCACCCACCGCTGCATTCAGCCATCCTTGTGGCCAGGCCAAGGGCGTGCCCGCCGGTAATTGGGTCATCCCAAGCCCCCTCAGGAGCCACATCAGGCGATACCTTAAATAACAAGCGGCCTTCCCCCGGGGCTCTTCGGAAAAGAATAACCTCAAAGTGTTGCACACAAAAATTGAGGACAGCACACGTGCAATATTTGGGGCACCCTTCCCCCCGTTCTCGACGCGTTTACACATCACCACCCTCTTCAGTCTATCCATCCCGCCTCCCCAAATGAATTGAAACAACAGCGATTCCAGGATTCTTGCCTCCCTCCTACCTGGCGGGTACACATATGCGAGGTAGTTGAGTGTTGGTAAAACCACCACCCTCACTACCAGAATCCTCCCTTCCATCGTGAGCCGTCTCCCGGCCCACTTGCCTAACTGTCCCTTTACCTGCTTTATCCTCCCGTCCCAGTTTCGTTCCGCCGACCTCTCTCGGCAAAAGGACACTCCCAAGACCTTGACTTCCTCCGTCTTTATCCCCAACTCAGGCGGCCGGCCCTCAAATAGTCTCAGGTCCCCGAAGGCCATCAAGTCGCTCTTCCTCGCGTTCACCTTCAAGCCGGAGGCCAGGCCGAAGCGGTTTGTCTCCTTCATGGCCCCCCACACTGATGCCACGTCCCTACAGAGCACGACTACGTCATCCATATATAGCGCCACCTTCCCCTGTTCCTTATTCCCGGGGATGGTCACTCCCTTAATCTCCTCATTGTTTCTCATTGCCTGTGCAAGGGGTTCCATACACATTACAAATAGAACCGCGGACATCGGGCACCCCTGTCTCACCCCTGACTCTACTGGAATTGTCCCCGAGAGCTCCCCATATATCAGTAGTCTGGTCTTGAGCCCTTGGTAAAGACGCCTCACCCAATCGACCAAGGGTCCCCTCACTCCTATTTTTTCCAACACTGCGAACATATACTCGTGCGAGAGGCGGTCAAAAGCCTTCTCAAGATCCAGGCTAAGAAGCCCTAGGGGGCATCCCCTCTCTACTTCTACATCTATTGCCTCCCTTAATAAAATCAGGGAGTCCGAAATCCTTCTTCCTGGCACCGCACACGTCTGGTCGGGTTCGACTACTCCCTCCACCACCTTCCCCAGGCGCGTCGCAGCTATTTTTGCCATAATCTTGTAGTCCGAGTTCAGGAGGGTAACTGGATGCCAGTTTCCCAACTCTCTCCGGTCCCCCTTCTTATACATCAGTGTGATGAGCCCCTCACACATTTCTTCTGGCACCAGTCCGCCCTCCAGCATTTCCCTATACATCTGCAGCATATCCCCTTTCATTAAATCCCAGAATGTAATATAGAATTCTGCTGGAATTCCATCCAGTCCTGGCGTCCTATTCTTATTCTGCCTCCTCACTGCCTCCTCCACTTCCTCCATCTGGATCCTCCCTCCCAGTACCTCTGGGTTCTTAACCTCATGTCTTAGCTCCCCTAGTAGTGCCTCCCTTATTCCCTTATCCGTTTCCTTCCTCCCATACAACTCCCCATAGTACTCCTCCGCTATCTCTATCATACCCTCTGTCGTTGCCTGCCTGCCTCTGACCGGACTTACCAATTCCCTAAGTGTGTTGTCTCCTGCCTTGCATTTCTTAAAGAAGAAACTCGTACATTTCTCTCCCTGTTCCGTTGCCCTGACCCTTGCCCTGTATGCCATTTGTTTGACTCTTTTCTCCAATACCGAGGATAACCTTCCCTTCAATCTCCGTATATCCTCACCCACCGGGAATCCCAGCTCAAGTAACCTGTGCTTCTTCTCGATTCTAGCGTTCCACAGCTGCAGTTCCCTGTTTACACTCCTCCTTCTACTATGTGTCTGGAAGAGGGCCTTTATCCGGCCCTTCACCATGCTCCACCACTCCACCCTCGTGGCAAAGCATTCCTGCAGGGTCGTCCAGTCTTCGTACTTCCTTACAAAGTCTTCCACGACCCTTCTGTCTTCCAACAGGCTTACATTCATTTTACAGGTTCCCTTCCCCATCTTCAGGCCACCTGGAATACCGAGCTTTGCCTTCACCAAATTGTGATCTGACAAGGGGAAGGGTTCCAGGTCAGCTCCATCCACCTTCACATTGACAGACACAAAGATGAAATCTATTCGTGATTGCGTTCTACCACCCTTATCCGACCACGTGTATCCCGGTCTCACCGGGTGTACCTTTCTGAAGGTGTCAGTCATTTTAAAATCCTCTATCAGCTCCTTCAACTTTCTAGAGGAAGGGTCGAGCCTCCTCCTCCCAGCCACCGATAACAGGTCTGCCAGGCACAACGGGCAGTTAAAATCACCCCCCATTATGACTTGCCTTCTCGTCACGAGCAGGGTCGCTACATTATTCCATAGGTCCACTCTTTTTGTGCACGTCGTGGGGGCGTACACATTTATTAGTCTCAGGTTTGCCTCTCCATAAGACACGTCCACATAATGGAGGCGGCCCGGGATCACCTCTTGGGACCCGACTATCTGTATACCCCTCCTGCCTAGGAGGGTAACCACCCCCGTGCATCGATTTTCATTACTCCCGGACCAAAAGTAGTAGCCATCCCAGCTCTCCAACAGCTCCTCCCGGCCCAGGGTGTATGGTAGGTGGCATTCCTGGAGGAAGACCACCTCCCACTTGGTAGCCTGTAGCAGTTGTATTATTGCTCCTCTCCTCCCCTTTCCCTTCAAGCTCCTCACATTTACGGACGCCACGGAAAGTTCCATGTTGGGATGTGTCTCAGTCCGAAGCGGCCTTCTCCGCTCGCCCTCCGTAACCGTCTTCATTCGCCAGTTCCTGCAATTTCATTTTGCCCCTTGTTCTCAAGGGTTTCCCCCTGCGCCGGCTCTCCACCCTTTCCTCCATCCCCTCCCTCGAGGCCTCTGTGTCCAGCGAGGAGTCCGAGGATTCCGTGCTGCCTAAAGGGGCGCCTCTTTTTGGGGCTCTCCGTATCCTCCTTTTCCTTCCGATTGGTCCCTCCCATGTCTCGCTACCGCCTTCCTCCTGCTGTCATTCCCCTTTTCCTTCATCCTCCTCCACCGCCTCCGCCCAGTCTTCCACGGTCGTCTCGGAGATGCTGCCCATGCCGTCGCTCCCCTCCCCCGCCAGCCCCTCTTCCTGCTCGCTCGATGTCTATTCTGCTCTTTTTGCATGCCTCTCCCCTTCTCCCCCTCCGTCCGTCGCTGGTGGCTGCTGCTCAGCCACCTCCCCACGTCCTTTCCTCACCAGTTCCTTATCCGGGTCCAGTTTGTTCCCACCCCCTTCCTCATCCCTCGCTCCTCCTACCCTATACGCCCTAACCTTGTTGGCGTACGACTCCGGACAATTTTTGTACAGATGTTCTCGGCTACCGCAGAGGTTACATTGTGCCGGAACACTGCATTCTTCTACCTCGTGGTCCAGTGCCTTGCATCTATAGCAGACTTTTGTCTTGCACACTGCAGCCAGGTGACCGCTGCCCCCACACCTCCTACACAGTTTAGGTTGTCCGGCATACACAACATATCCCCGGTTGCCTCCTATGTTCAGGGCACTCGGGATGTGTCTCAAGGTCCCTCCCTCTGTTTTCAGCCGCACCCTCCATTGTCTTGCCCCTGTCCATATCCCCACTGAGTCCCTCACCTTTTTACAGCCCGACAGTACCGAGCAGTGCTGTCTTAGCCAGACCTCCACGTCGTGGTCATGTAGGGCTTCATTGTATAGGAAAATAGTCACCACCTTCGTGTCCAGCTCTGATAACAGTTGTAGCTTCATTGATATCAATGGCTTCTCCTCCGCCTTTTCCTCGAAGCGGGTCATAAATCTT